AAAAAGACTTAAAAAAAATCATTTTGCCCTGTTCACAATATTGTTGCTGTTCTTTTTTTTTACACCCCTATCTTCTGTTTTTCCCCTTTCTCATGTGGAAAATCAGGGCACTACTGGCTTTAAAAAAAATATGTAGCTGACTGGTTTTGATGAAGGATTCTGGGGAACTAGATACTTGCATACAATCTCTTCTCTCCTTATATATAATTGAATAGTGGGTGCCAAAGTTCTAATTCTAAAATGCACTCCCTTAGTGTATGGCTGATGGCACTGCTCCTCAGCATATATCGCCACCAATCAGAAGGCAAAGCCCGGGTCCCGCCCACACCACAACTGCTGCGACAACCTGGTCTTTTGCATATGGAAGCTGATTGGACTTCAGTCCATTCCACACCTCAAACTCCCCCCCCCCTGCAAGGCAGTTGGAATTTTCAGTTGCATAACATACCTCATAGGGGAGAGGAGAATGGGTAACAATGGTTACCACTCTCCAGGTGAGGGCTACAGATAACTCAAACATACAAATGCTCTTCAGGTAGCAGAGATCAGTCCCTCTGGAGAAAACAGTGGACTCTGTCATTAAACCCTGCTGAGGTCGCCACAGGAAACTGACACTGTTTGCCCAAAGCCAGAGCACTCTCCCAGAGCCTCTTTCTAGATCCCGTTGTATTTATTTCCGCAACGGGCATTATTTCTAGTTTTGTAATATTTTGATTGGTCCAAGGAAAAGAAGTTTTACATGTCTTATTTTATACTTTTCTGTGATCCAATGAGGTTACCTTATAAAATTTGTAATGTAAAATAAGTTGGATGGTAATGCATGCAACAGCCCATCAACTTAGTGTTGTTCGTGCAGTCTGTAGATACTCTGGAAGAGGTGTAAATAGCAGGTGAAGATGTAACGAAAGGGAACTGTGAAAGAGTTGTAGTTCAGAGGGGGAGAGGATCAGAATACAATCATTGTTGACTGCAGTGAGTATTATGCTGTGCATCTTTGCAAAGTTCAATATATTTTGTATGTTTTAAAAGTCACTATCTGAATCTCCATGACAGATAAGCAACAAACCATCCAACTAAAAAAATTCCTTATATAGGGTTGGATTGCGTGATCTGTCGGCAGAGGTTGCTGATGCTGATCCTGCTGTTATTTCCTGCAGCCATTTCTAATTCTAGAAAACTTTCCAGGGACCCACAGGGAGTAGTAGCCATGCTGGTTGGGAAGCTGCAGGGGGGGAGGGAGAATGGATGAATGGGTAGAAATGACTCTCTTTTCCTCTTGCATGTGTAGAACTATGCTGATGGAAGAATGGAGTGACTTCACCTCCTTCCCTCTTCTCAATGCATCCTTCTGATCTCTGTGACTGTTATTTCCATGTGGGCCCTACAACCATGGGAATAAAGTTTCCCAAGGTCAGAGGAAGTGGGTGTGGACTTCACAGGGTCCTTGTGCCCATAGAGTTTAAAGCAAATGGAAGGCTATAATTCTCTCTCAGTTCCACCTGGTGACTTATTAATGCTCTCTGTTGTTTGCATTACTTCAGTGGATAGAAATGGCTTAAGGTGCACTGTTAGTGAAGTTAGTAGGACTTGACCCTAGGATCATAAATGAATCCTGTTTTTTTTTTTTGTTAATGCTGTAGATGACCATGTACGGCATTCTATTTGGTGAAATTATCCAGCAGCAGAACACTTGAAAAGTGACACCCTTTAGGCTGAAATCTTGTGGATTTTTGTAACATCAGTAAGATAGTAATACTCCACAGGTGTCAGGCTGTAGGCTTACCTGGGAGTAATCCCCATTAGAGTCTGTAGAGTCCTAAACATGGGTAGAATTGGGCTGCAACTGTCTTAATCTGTAGATTATTCAGAGGGCTCCGTTCCATCCTGTTGACAAATGCATAAGGCAAAGTTCAAGGAGGAAATGCCTCTTGGTGTGTCTTTTTTGTATGTTATTGCTGGCTGCTGTGACCAGTGGGAACATTTTATTCAAGAACATTACTTAAGGGTATGTGTCAGTCTGTGCCCCCAGTGTTCTGTTTCATTCTGGAATTGTCAGAGGAGATGATGATGGTGTTTCTGAAGCCCAGAAGGCCAACATCACATCTGTTGCAATACTTGTTTTGTCACATAGAGCTTAACTTTACATGGCAGCATTGTCCACTGGGGTGGGGAGTATCAGATGTTTAGAATAAGGAGACACATTTTGGTCTCTCAGATTATCTTTTGCCCGCCCACCCCTTGAATGAAACACAACACAACACAGGTTATGGGTTAAACTGGGAATTTTATTTATTCAAAAGCTGATCTGCACCAATACAAAGCACGGGTTGCCTTGGGCCTGCATGGCAGGCCTACTAACAGGGCAAACCCACCCTGCCTCCGAGCCAGGTCCGGGATCCTTCCGGACCTTACTCACCATGGCCCGCACGCCAGTGCGTAGAGGGGAAGGAAGGGCACATTCCAGCCCACGGCTGCAAAGCCATAAGGCTTGTCATATGCTCCCCCACCCCGAAGAGGCCCCCACCTGAGTTACCCTGACTGCAAAGCCCATAGGCACCCAGTATGAGGACCCCCCCTATCGCTGATATCTCAGGGTGCTTGCCAATTCCAAATCCCCTCAACCCGTGCTTTTCCCGCCACAGAGGGGGTTAGCCTTGGCCAATCTGAGCATGGAGGGCGACTGCTGCCAGACCTGGCCAGTGAGCTCGCTCTTGGTTGGTCACCACAGACTGTGACAGCAGCCATGAAATTAAAAGACGCCTGCTCCTTGGGAGGAAAGCGATGGCGAACCTAAACAGCATGATAAAAAGTAGAGACATCACCCTGCCAACAAAAGTCCGTATGGTCAAAGCAATGGTATTCCCAGTAGTCATGTATGGCTGCGAGAGTTGGACTATAAGGAAGGCCGAGCGCCGAAGAATAGATTCTTTTGAACTATGGAGCTGGAGAAGACTCTTGAGAGTCCCTTGGACTGCAAGAAGATCAAATCAGTCAATCCTAAAAGAAATCAACCCTGACTGTTCCCTGGAAGGCCAGATAATGAAAATGAAGCTCAAATACTTTGGCCACCAAATGAGAAGGGAGCACTCACTGGAGAAGACCCTGATGCTGGGAAAGATTGAAGGTCAAAGAAGACTGGGACGGCAAAGGATGAGATGGTTAGACAGTGTCATAGATGCAACGAACATGAAATTGAGCAAACTTCAGAGGACGGCGGAAGACAGGAAGGCCTGGTGTGATCTGGTCCATGGAGTCGCAAAGAGTTGGACTCGACTGTGCGACTAAACAACAACAACAAAGAAGCCTCTCAGCATTTAGTTAGGTGGCTCTGTCACTAGTAACTTGGCTGACCCTGAAGTTATGATGAAAGCTATGCATGGGGGAGGGGCACACCAGCATATATGAGCAGCAAGCACAAATAAGATTAGAAATACAAATGATGCCATCTTTAAGCATATACAGTATATTTGTGCCCTGATTCTGATACTCCATAAACCCGCACCAAAGTTAACAAAAAGAGACTTCACACAAAGGTAATTCAACACATGTAATCCATCATAGGAAAATACAAAAGTCCACAATATCCCAAAGGGAAAGAACAAAGTCCAGAATAGAAATTTCTCAAAGGGAAACAATGAAGTCTGGAATAAATATCAACACTTTTCCTAGGTATTGTTCAGTGTTTAGGACTTCTGGTCCTTCCTCAGGAACAAAAAGCCACTACAGGAAGTCTCATTGCAATTTCTTAAGAGGCAAACTTTATTCAGTTTCTATATGGGCCAGGTCTCCTAAGCTTTAGAAAGCACCTACCAAGGTTGCTATTATGTAAGTTGTTTGGTCCTGAGGAAGGACCAGAAGTCCGAAACACTGAACAATACCTAGGAAAAGTGTTGATATTTATTCCAGACTTCATTGTTTCCCTTTGAGAAATTTCTATTCTGGACTTTGTTCTTTCCCTTTGGGATATTGTGGACTTTTGTATTTTCCTATGATGGATTACATGTGTTGAATTACCTTTGTGTTGAAGTCTCTTTTTGTTAACTTTGGTGCGGGTTTGTGCAGTACACAGTTGTTGTTTGCTGTTTTTTTGGCCATTGTTTACTGTGGACTGTATTATTGTTGTTGTTGTTGGTTCTGATACTCCATAGACATTACTCCATAGGCATTAACAATATTCTCTTCAGTGTCAAGAAATTTTCTGTGTCTGGTTTTCCCTTGGACTACACAAATATAAACTTTTGTTTGCAAGTGCATTTACATGGGAGCCATTTCTGTTGTAAGCAAAGGGACTTATAAAAGAAGCCAGTGTTGGATCAGGCCACTGGCCCATCCAGTCCAACACTCTGTGTCACACATTGGCCAAAAATACCAGGTGCTTCTGAGTAAAAATTATCCTTGTAAAAAAAATTCTGAGTAAAAATTATTAGAACTAAGGTGTCGGCCTGCAATCCTAAATGTACTTAACCTGAAGGTAAGTCCTGCTGAGCTGTAACTGTTTTCAATTGTTAGGTCTTGGCCTCTGCAATATTTGTGTTAGATGGTGGTAGTTTTACAGAAAATGGAATGTTTTACAGAATAGGGAATGACGCTGAGAGAGAGTGATCAAATTCTTCCCTAATTTTCAAAGCTTTGTAAAGGTGCATGAGAGTTTGGAAGACGTATACAAACACAGCGCAGCCTTCCAATTACATTTGTGCACATGTTCAAGAATTTCTTAGAGGAGCAGTGTGTTTTTTACCTACTGTCTTTGAAAATTTTTCTCTCAATTGTTTGTTTCTGGATATTCTGCCACTCAGTAGTGTTTCTCCATGTAAATATGTAATTATTTAAAATATTTAATGTTTCAGGTTGTGTTACAACAGAAGTGCCTGTTTTGTAAAGAAGTGTATATGTGTATACATGCATATAAATGCAGAATGTGTTAATAGCTAATTATGAGCAGTTTGTGTTTCTCTTTGATTTGTTTTAGATAACAGCCTGCAGTCTCAGTCTGCTGGGAGATGGAATCAATTACTATGTTGGGAAGTCCTAAAAACTTAAATGAAACTTTCTTGCCAAATGGTGTAAATGGTATCAAGGACGACAGTAAGATTACAGTTGGCATCATTGGAACAGGGGACTTTGCTAAATCCCTGACAATCAGGCTTATCAGGTGTGGGTACCATGTGGTTGTAGGAAGCAGAAACCCCAAGTTTGCTGCTGAGTTCTTCCCACATGTTGTTGATGTCACTCACCATGAAGATGCTGTAGCAAAAGCAAATTTAATCTTTGTCGCCATACACAGAGAACACTACAGCTCTTTGTGGGACCTCAAACATCTGCTAGTTGGTAAAATTCTCATAGATGTTAGCAACAACATGAGAGCCAACCAGTATCCAGAATCCAATGCCGAATACCTGCAGTCGCTTTTCCCAGATTCTGTTGTTGTCAAAGGATTCAACGTTATTTCAGCCTGGGCACTGCAGTTAGGACCAAAAGATGCCAGCAGACAGGTATGTTATGTATGTGGGCATTTACACAAATAGGGCTGCACTCTTCAATAATTAATTTATGTGGAGCAGTTTTCACAGTGTAGGCAACAGCTGGAGCTCCCAGCACTGGCAGAAGAATACAGTCCGTTCTATTGGTCTAGCACTGAGAACAGACATCACTGTGTTACTGCAATAAGCAACCGCCAGCCCTCCTGAGTTGGCATTAAGGAAATGCATCACACAAGGCTGCCGAAAGTAGTTCTAGAAGTTGCAGCGCTGACTACGGACTAATGTGAGAGGATCTCTCTTATATTTAGAGGCAAGCAGGGCAGACTGGTTGGGGCTCTCCTGCCTTGCCCAGCATGGTGTTTTAGGTGTTGTAGTACAATCTAGAGGCCTGGATATGATCAGGCTGCCTGCTTTTCCAATAAACTAATTTTATTTACCATTCATATGTTGCAAGAACATGGCTTCCTTATATTATTCCCCAACAATATGATTAAAGCATCTTTATGTTTTCAGTTATATCACTAGCGTCTTATAGGGCCAAAACCAAGATCTTTTATTTTTAACTGACTAATTCTAACAATGATAAATGTATATTTTAAAATAGACGCTTGGCCTATAGGTTCTTTTGATCCATGTACTAATAATGCTGACCACCCAATCCATGAAATTGTTGATTTTATACTATGTCATTTAAATTGCTGCATGTAATGAACTTGGTTTTCTAGGTCTACGTATGTAGTAACAGTGTTCAGGCTCGCCATCAAGTTATTGAACTTGCTCGTCAGCTCAACTTTATCCCCTTTGATTCGGGTGCTCTGTCGTCTGCAAAGGAGATTGAAAATTTACCCCTGCGCCTCTTCACGCTGTGGAAAGGACCAGTAGTCGTGGCCATTAGTCTGGCGACTTTCTTCTTCATCTATTCGTTCATTAGAGATGTCATACATCCATATGTGAGGAGCCAGCAGAGTGATTTCTACAAGATTCCTATTGAGATTGTGAATAAGACATTGCCAGTTGTTGCTATCACTTTACTGTCTCTGGTGTATTTATCGGGGCTCCTAGCAGCTGCTTATCAGCTCTATTATGGCACCAAATACAAACGATTTCCACCCTGGTTAGAGAGCTGGTTGCAATGCAGAAAACAGCTTGGACTGCTTAGTTTTTTCTTTGCAACAGTGCACGTGGCTTACAGCCTCTGTTTGCCCATGCGGAGGTCAGAACGCTACTTATTCCTCAATATGGCGTATCAGCAGGTAAGGAAAATAACTTTTTAGATGCTGTTTTACTCAACTGTGTCAGTGTCCTGAAAATTATATATGTATTGTATCACAGTACCACACAATCTGTATGAAATCTGGCCAAGGCAGTCTCCAAAATAAAAAGAGTCTTGGAATAAAATTATTAAAAATGGCTTGGCCCAGCATGACATAGCATAACAATCTACAAAATCAGGAAAAGCTTAAGCATTAAAAGAACATAAATTAAAAACAAAACTTGTCTTTAAGGTATTAATAGGCTAGGAGGCTAAGCGAAGTCCCGAAAAGTCTGGGTACCAGGCAAAAGGGTCAGGGGAAAAAGGGCATTCCACAGATGAGGCATCACAATAAAAGTTTTTGTTCTTCTGTGGCTTCCTGTTTCATGTCTGAAGACTTGAGAATGAAAAGCAGAGCCTGTAGTGAGGTTTACTAATGAAATTCTTAAGGAATTATAATTATTTAATATTTTTATTATTGTTCCATAGTTATAATACAAATCTATTGCATTACTTATAGAGCTGTATTACTCAGTGCTTAAAATGCAGGTAGGAACACTGAATTCTTTTTTAAAAAATATTTTTATTGGTATATTAAGAACAGTATATATACACATAATATATAATTCATTTAACATTACTTAGTACAGTACTACCTATAGTTATCCAATGACACTATGTTCCCCTCCGTACGTTAGTATTTATAGTCGAAGTAATAGTTGTTTTGAGTATGAGTGCAGAGTGTGAACCTATCCGTATATCCGATTGTTTAGTATATCTCACAAGTGTAACCACTCATGGTATGCAGTGTTTATTTATTTATTTATTTATTTTTCATATTTAGATCCCGCCCTCCCCAGGTGTTACTGGGGAGTATACCTCCCCTTGACATATAATTCAGTATCGGTGACCATGTTCTAATATATCTCATACGCAGAGCTGTGCTTGTCTGTTGTGTTCTTTGTACCGAATCCACGATTTTAGCCATAACAAACTGTTGCCATAGCTTATCATGCCACCCTGCCAAAGAAGGTGGGGTTGGTGATTTCCATCCTGCAGCAATCGTCAGTTTGGCTGTCGCTAGTAATGTCGAAATAGTCTCCCTAGTGTTGTCTACTATCGAATCATCCCATTTATGTAGGAGTATAACTTCCGGTTTAAAAGCGATTTCCTGAGACGTTATTGAACACTGAATTCTGACAGCTATATACATTATCTACAGGAAAAAATTAACTCTTTCCTTATCTTGCATAATTATTGGATTGGAACAAAAAAAATATTCAGAGCTCCGAAGAGACACCCCCCACCCACCCCAATTGCTGGAAGTCCTTTTTGGGTGCCTCCTATGTTTTTGAGATTTTGCTAGGCATACTTTTCTGGTCTGCCAGATTAATTATTAATTTTGTTTAAGTGTGCTTAATGATCTTGGCATTTAAGGAACTTTTCCCCCATCAGGTCCATGCAAATGTTGAAAATTCATGGAATGAAGAAGAAGTGTGGCGGATTGAGATGTATGTGTCCTTTGGAATAATGAGCCTTGGTCTGCTTGCTTTGTTGGCTGTAACTTCTATTCCTTCAGTAAACCAATCTTTAAATTGGAGGGAATTCAGTTTTATACAGGTATGTATTTTGGAGCATGTAAATTAATCTACCACATGGTGTTTTCAGTAAGGTGATGTTAACAATATGTATTTATTTAAGACATCTGCACTTTCCCATGACACCATGCACAGGGTGGCTTTCAACTTTCATATAAAAGCATAAAAGAGTTAAAAATAAATAAATATGTCTGTATATGCATGGAATATTCTCAACATGGGCACCCAGTCTCCAGTTCTCTGTGCACATATGCATGGTAAATGTGTACACAGTTGTCACACATTTTGCCCTACATGGTACTGTTATCTGTAAAGGACATTAGTGATGTCGGAAGCAGCCCTGAGAAATAAACTTGGAAACGTTACAACCATGATCACCTTGTACAAAATAGAGCAGATTCCTTCCTATGTAAATATTTTCACATAGTTTTCTGACAGTGGCAGGAATGCATTATTCAGGTCTGTTGCACATTTTGTTTTTACAGAGTCCCCTACTCACCCTTGGCATGATTGTCTGCTGCCACCTAATTATTTCCATGGCTCCAGTCATGAGATCCTGGAATATTTATTTCCATTTTGCTTTGTTTAGGATTGGGCTGCAACTCAATATCACTATACCCTTTAAAGTTTCATTGCTGGCTTACTGTACGGGAGATTGACTTGGATAGAGCCCTAGTGGTCAACCAGTTGCCCTGGGGGGGGGGGGGCAGAGCAACAAACAAGGCACAGAGGCTAAGGCCTTCCACTGACATTGCCTCCTAGCATTGGTATTCAGAAGGTTACTTTCTCTGGATGCAGAGGTGCTAACAGCTATTAAGTTACCTGCCTCTAATCTGTCTAACCCTCTCTAAAAATCATATATGCTCATAGCTAGTGCTACAACCACTTGCAATGAATTCCACAATTTAATTACTCACTTAGTGAAGAAGTACCTCCTGTTGACCATCCTGAATCTATTGTACATCAACTTCATCAGGTGCCCCAAGTTCTAGTATTATGAGACAGTGAGAAAGGGTTCTGCCTGACCATTTTCTCCATCCTATGCATAATTTTGTAAATCTCTTATGCCTGTAAATAGATATTCTGCAATATAGGAGTCAAGGGGCTGATACAGGTTCAGAATGTAACCCAGAGTTCCACTGCAGTTCACAGATATGACAGATGCATGCAATTCCATGAGCTTCAGAAATCCACAGGCGTGCCTGAAAGCTGAGATACTGTATGTGAGATATTTGTCAGTATCCTTGGTCTCAAATCAAGTAAATATTGCCCTTATTTTCTGCCAGCCCAACAAAATGTCCCAATGCCATAGGAACGTTCCACATGACCCTTTTCCACATCTTTGCCTTTGTCTTCTCTAGTTGCTATCTGCAGAGAATTCAGAACCAATCTTAATATTCACGATAGACCCTCACCGGGAAAAAACTACAGAACGAGTGTGGTGCTCCCATTTTATTGGATCAACTGATGTTCAGAATGCTAAAATTAAGCTTTTAATTTATATCCCATGAGAGTTGGGAAGAAGAGATTCTTGGTCAGAAGGTGTGGTTTCCAGGGAGCCTTGAGCTTGAACTCATTTTGTTTGAGAAATTAATCTTTATAGTTGGGTCTTTTATTTCATTCTGTACAATGACAACAGAATTCAGTCAGGCAGATAAACTATTTAAAAGTTCTAGCAAAAATGGATGATAAAATTGTTAAACTACAGAGAGATTTTAAACATTTTATTAACTCTTTCTGATAATAAGGCTTTTGGAGTTTTAATTTCTATTTGCTTCCCTTATTCCTGCCCGCCACCAAAGTCTACACTGGGATACGTCGCTCTGCTCATAAGTACTTTCCACGTGTTAATTTATGGATGGAAACGAGCCTTTGAAGAAGAATACTACAGATTTTACACACCACCAAACTTTGTTCTTGCACTGGTCTTACCGTGCATAGTAATTTTGGGTAAGATAATTTTGCTTTTGCCTTGTATAAGCAGGAAACTGAAACGAATAAGAAGAGGATGGGAGAAAAGACAGTTTATGGATGATGGCAGTGGAACTGTTCCATATCCCTCACCAGAAAGGATTACAGTCATGTGACTGTACAGTAGCACTGTTACCCTTGTCAACGTTGTCCCTTTAAGAGAAGTTTAGCTTATGAGTTCACATAAACTTTTCTGTAAACTGGAAACTTGATCTTTGGCAGTATGGATGGGCAATAGTAAAAGCCATCAGTCAGGAAATGAGCAACCTGGGGTGAAAACAAATGTAAAGGAAAGAAAGGAGGGGAAACAAATGTAACCTCCTAGGATACTGATGTGCATTGCCATCTACATCTTAATGCAGACAGAAATGCACATGCATGTAGTCTAACAAGTGCCACCACAAGTGGTTTCCTTGGGACCAGTGGTCATGTCCAGTGCCTGGCTACATGCACCTCTCTTTCTCTACACTGAGGCCATATGAACACGGGGTTTTAATAGCTTAGTGAAGCAAGAAAACCATTGGGTTTTGCATGACATGTTTTGCAGTTACATTTGTTGCTTGTAATTTCTAAATTATATCTTTTGTATGTGCTTTACATTGTAAAAAACAAAAACAGGGAAACAAACATTTTTGCAGTCCGCTTCTGTGATGGATGTGTTAATGTGAAACAAATCTTTTGTACTTCTGACACTTCATTATAAATTGATGATCACTTATATCACTCTGATGCTTTAGTTCCAGGTCTCTAAATATTGAAATGATGCTGAGAATTTTCACTACTCCGGTATTCTTTCTAGATAGTTCTTCTAGATAGGTTTGTTTGTGCTACTCCCATTTAAAGTCAGAGTGAGTGGTCAAATAAATTTAAGGACAAAATGAGAAATATTTCTCACAATAATTTTTGCGTATGGGGAATGTGAAGCAGCTTCAGTGTCTTCATGATGTGCCCTTTAGCCCAACTAGATTCAGATAAACAAAATTAATTTATGCAGACATTTTCAGCAGCTGTAAACACCAGGGGGGTAATAACACTAGATTATTAACAGCTGTGGGCTGTATATTCATCAGTAAGAGTTAGAGTACTGTTAGAGAGGTAATCATTCAGTGCACAAAAAGGAGTTGTCATTATCAAAGGCACTACTTCTATTCCACTTGTGATAAAGTGCTTAAACAGGCTTAGTTGCAACAATTAATATTGCATAGTTGGTTTTTGTGAATCTGTTACCTCTTGTAGAACTAGAAAAACATTCTTGTTTAAATAAGAATACATTTATTTATAATATATTATGCTTTTCTCCTACACTGGGGACTCAAAAGCAGCTTACAAAATGAAATAAACATAAAAGTATAATTTATAGAAGAATGTGCACCTTAGCAGGCCCCCAGTGCAAAGTTCAACCAGGTGATTAGCCGTAAAGATGTCCCAAGCTAGTGATAGTTCCATGGACGCAGGGCCTGAAGCTTTGAGCCACAGGTTAGGAGGCAAGGGACAAGAGTCTCTGTCGACACCCAGGGTTTAAATGTCCTGCAGAAAGACATGGAAAGTGTTCTGTTTTGTTTCAGTATATTCATAATTTCATGAAAATGCTAACTGCAATAAACGTGTCAAGGAGAAAGCGACCCTAAAGCCCATTTTCTTGACGTTTTCCTCACATGAGATGGGAGGTTGCGCATAGTATTAAAACATGCAATCTGATCTGTACTTCAGTATTAGCATTAAAACATGCAATCAGTACATTCTGTAAGGCTACAAAGTGCAATGTACAATTACATTTGGCTATTATAGTTCATATATATCAAGGAATGTCTTTGCAAAGAGATCTTAGTTGCCTCTTTGCATAAAGAAATATTTAATAAAAATTAGAGCCCCTTGTGTAGCATTTGAAAAAAGACTAATCAACTGCACAGATATGAGAGCTGTGATATTTATTATATAAAATAAATGGAAATTTTGAGCCATTACTGTCTTTATCCTAAAAGCATCCACAAAATTGACCTAATTTAGGGTGTATTTACAAAAGTGCCTTCCCCTGCCCCCCATTCCAGCACAGGCAGTCAAGCCCAGCTTACCTGAAAACTGGATACCATGCATGACTATGTGCTAAACATTAGCACTGAAGGTCATGTAAGCACAGTAGAGCACTTTTGTTGACTGTGCCATTACTTCTAGTAACACCAGTGACTCTGTAATCCTGTTCACATGTAGTAAGAAAAAAATCCCATTGAAATCAGTGGGAGTTTTATGTGCTTAGGATCAGTCTAGATAAATTGCCACAACTCAATGGCTCTGCTTATGTATTCAAAGCAGAGCCTTCCTATTGTATGGGAGGGAACTCTCAGTATGCACACTAGGAAATCTGTGTGTGAAATTCTTTGTGTGTGCGTGTGTGCATGCTCATGCTTGCTATTTTCCTTTCATACAAAAAAGGCACTGCAAGGCCAGGGAGCTCTGGAGCAGCGCTGGTGTGCATAGCATCTAGGTAGAAGTTCTTCAAAAGATTATATTAAATCTGGACCACAAAAATGTCTTAAGAAAAATGTTATCTTGAATTATTTTTCAAACAGTTTTTATAAAAACGTAGAGATATTCTTTTATTTGAAACAGTTCTTCAAAATAGTTATATTAATAAAACTATATTTTTGAAAAAAATCATTGAAATGTTTAAACTACATACAGAGTTTTATCTTATTAATTTTTTTTTGTTATTCATAGTGCAACTTTAAACCTACTTTAATGTGTGCAGGTCTTTTGAAATATATGTAAGTCTGATAAACATAAAGTAGGTACAGGATTGCAAGTTGATATAACACTGTGGGTCAGATTCTGCAGTCTGTAGTCACTATAGAGCAGTATTGTACTCTGATCATGGAATGTTATCAGCCCAGCCAGCTCATCAGCTCATACTGTTCCAATGAAACTATTTATGGAAGGGTTTATATCCTAGGATAATGCTTTTTACCTAGTATCTGTACTTTGTTGATAGAGATTCCTATTTTGCTGCCTAAATGTACATACGGTGGATGTACCCTGATTATATATGTATTTTTCAGTGGAGCCTGTGCCAATGTAATATGTTTTAGAAAGAACTGAAAGCCATATACATGATTTAAGAGCTTAAATATGAATCGCTGCTTTATATATTTTTATAGTTTCAATTATTTGATCAATTTCTTCTGAAAATGAATATCTTAGTTCTCACTACAATGCACCATAATGCTGTACAATGCTTAATATACTTCATATGTGCTATTTAAAAGATTGTTTCTGTGCAGTTGAAACACTAAATTACATTTTCACTCTACTGGGCACTTTATTTTCATAGATGTGATAGATTTTCTATACACAAGGTGTGACAAATAGAGTTCATTTTATGTGTTTTTAATTTCACTGCTGCTTGTAAACTGTAACTAAGTTCAGCTGAATGGTACTGGACTTTATCACTGGTAAATTGTTTTGAGATTCTTCTGAAATTTATTGTAAGCTTATTGTTTGCTTGGTTGTAACAATGTGGCCCAAGAGATTGGTACAAAATAATTTTTCATCTTCTGTACAAATAGTTTATACTCAGACTAGGCATTTGGTACTTGTAGAATATTGGTAACTATACAGTTACGAATCTTGTGAGAGTTCGGTGTGCAGTTGTAAAAGCAGCCCTAATAATGGAAATAGTAGTGTAGTTCCATCCAGCTTTTCCATTCAGTCTTGCCTGACTCCCGTATTTACTACAGCCTGTCTCACGTGGCTTTTTCCCATGCAGGTCTCACGAACCTCAGCATAGGCTTTTTGTTTGTTTGCTTGTGAGTGTCAAAGGGGACCCTTCCATCCTTTTTCATCAATGGAAAAGTTGGTTTGATCCTCTCGTTTTTGCTAAGGTGCTGGTATTCTTCCTTTCCTTTGTTGTGAAATTGACCAGACACCAATCCAGTTGAACTTACAGTGAAAACAAAAGGCGCTATGTAAAGATTAGATAATGTAGGTCTAATTCTTCTAGGTCTTCTGTAACTTCTTCCACTGGTGCGTGTAGATAGGAAGCCCTCAGTGGCTAGTAGCAAGCTGAAACTTCCTGGTGCTTGAAATTCTGTGAAGGAGGTATGTGTGTATTTGGATAATCTATATGCTTTTTAATACAATTCTTTTAGTAAAGGAAACATGTAATATTTAAACTCGCTCTTCTTCCTAAGCAGGTGTATTGTCAGATCACACCTAAGTATAAACACAGGACTTGGTAGGAAAATCCAGTAATTTTGATGGAATTTATGGAGCAGGTTATAAATGCAAAGGGATTGCATAGTCAATATTATCCTTATGGCACTGTGAGATTCTCTATTTAGATGATTTCCCCCCCCATTTTACAGATGGAGAATAGAGCCTGAGAGATCAGGATATGTCTAAATTTGCCTAGAGAGTCCACGGCTGAGTATTCAGATAGTTTTGTACAACTTGATCTTGAGTGTTGATGCAGTTAAGTCTTTAATTGAATGGAATATAGTATATACTGATAGATACAGCAGTGCAAGTTGACAGAAACCTGAGATTTTGCTGACTTCCAGCAGATTTTTGGACAAGGCTGCTGTTCTGTAATTCTGTACTGGGACAATATAACATCCAACTTAGATAAGGGAAACGTTTAACAAATTACACACTGAAACAATGTTTTTTATCTTACATACATACTGTTGTGTATGAATGTCTTTAGGGCAATGCCTTAGCAAATTTTTCATGAATTTCTGTGCAATATTTGCCTGTTGTGTCTGTCTTTGTATATTTTCTGAATTACTCTTCTGTTTGAACAGGGCTCTCTCATATTTTTCCATAGACCTTTTACTGACATCAATTAAAAAAATCAATTGTTTGGCCTTTGTTATGTCATTCTATCTAAGAACTTGCATTTTCACTTTTGTCTGACTTTTTGCCTTATTCAGTACATTTGGGCTTTCTTAAGGATCTCCTGGATTCATATTTACATATATGCCTCAATAAACTTGCTTCTACCATGTTATTTTTACTTGCAGAAGAGACTCAATGAGAACTGTATTATAGGTTACACAATGGTTACATAGCAGATGAAAATGTGATGCTGAGTTTATATGTAAACATGAACTTTTATACACAC